TGCCATATCCGGGATGTGGAATAGTACCTGGGGAGCTGGGGGGGTGCCGTTGATGTGGAGCAAGACACAGCAGCAGAAGAGGACTCAGCTGAGGAGGTTATGGAAGAGGATGGAGTAGGAGGAGTAGAGGAGGTGGTAGCAGGCCTGCCTGCAAGTCGTGGCGGTGTCACCAACTCCTCTGCAGAGCCACGCATTCCATGCTTGGCAGCTGTCAGCAGGTTTACCCAATGCGCTGTGTAGGTGATATACCTGCCTTGACCATGCTTTGCAGACCAGGTATCAGTGGTCAGATGGACCCTTGCCCCAACACTGTGTGCCAGACATGCCATTACTTCCTTTTGCACAATCGAGTACAGGTTGGGGATTGCCTTTTGTGAAAAGAAATTTCGTCCGGGTACCTTCCACTGTGGTGTTCCAATAGCTACAAATTTTTTGAACGCCTCAGACTCCACCAGCTTGTATGGTAAAAGCTGGAGGGCTAATAGTACAGACAAGCCAGCTGTCAGACGCCGGGCAAGGGGGTGACTTTCTGACATTGGCTTCTTACTCTTAAACATGTCCTTGACAGACACCTGACTGTGGGCAGATGAGCAGGAACTGCTCAAGGCGAGAGACGGAGTGGCGGATGGTTGAGAGGGGGCAAGGAGGACAGCAGTGGTTGACGTGGCTGAAGATGCTGGACCAGGAGGAGGATGGCGGCTTTGAGTTTGTGTGCTGCTTGTACTCATGTGTTGATCCCATAGGCGTTTGTGATGTGCGATCATGTGCCTACGCAAAGCAGTTGTACCTAGGTGGGTGTTGGACTTCCCACGACTCAGTTTCTTTTGGCACAGGTTGCAAATGGCAACGCTGTTGTCAGAGGCAGACACACAAAAAAAATGCTACATTGCTGAGCTCTGCAATGACGGCATTCTGGTGGTGGATACAGCATGCGTTGATTGGCGTGCTGTCGGGCTGACCCCGGGTGCAGATGCATGCTGTCTGACTGTGCCACTAGCTCCTTGGGACGACCTCCCCCTGCTTCCAACTCGTCTCTTCCTCCTCTCTGTCTCCCCATCTGAATTTTCGCCCTCTTCTTCTTCTTGCCGAGCGGGCACCCACGTGACATCCATGGACGCATCGTCATCAACCGCTTCACTTGTATCTGACAACTCAGCAAAGGAAGCAGCAGCGGGTACAACATCATCATCATCACACCGTACATGTGTAATGCTGCCTGATTGAGACATATCCCTGTTATCTACATCCTCTGTCAATAATGGTTGCGCATCACTCATTTCTTCAAGCGGATGTGTAAATAACTCCTCTGGCATACCAAGTGAAGCGGCTGTGGTGCTAGTGTTGGTGGTGGCGGCAGGCGGGTGAGTGGTATCTTGAGAGGTACCCGAAGCTAAGCTGGAGGAGAATGTTGCGTCAAGGTTCCGAGCGGAAGCTGTAGAAGATTGGGTGTCCTGTGTTAGCCAGTCAACTATGTCCTCAGAACTTTTCAAGTTCAGGGTACCTGGCCTCTGAAAACTGGGCATTATTCTAGGGCAAAAGGGAATCACAGCACCACGACCACGACGGCCCCTGCGGGGTGGCCTGCCTCTGCCTGTCATTTTTTTTCGATTAGTGGTACTATGCGTGCAAGCTGTGACACCAGATATGGTACTGTGAACTGGCAGAGGTTGGCAGAGTACACGCTGTAGGCCTGACACACCCGCTTGAAGACAACTAACTGCTATTCAATCTATAACAGTGAAAAAAGTTTTTTGGTTTTTAAATGCACGCTATTGTGACACCAGATATGAGTGGCACTTTGAACTGGCAAAGGTTGGCAGAGTACACGTTGTAGGCCTGACACACCTGCTTGAAGACAACTAACTGCTATTCAATCTATAACAGTGAAAAAAGTTTTTGGGTTTTTAAATGCACGCTATTGTGACACCAGATAAGAGTGGCAAGCTATTGTGACAGAACTGCTATGTTTATAAAAAAAAATTGGTTAATCCTAGCTGGACCTGGCACCCAGACCACTTCATTAAGCTGAAGTGGTCTGGGTGCCTAGAGTGGTGGAGGCTGGAACAGAGTGAGCCGGTGAGACGTATCGATGTCTGAGGTCTGCCGATATTTTTGGAATGGTCCAATATCTCAGGGATCTGGGGGTAGAAAGGGTGAGGGATTCCTCTAGAGACCCAGGCCTGACTGGCATGCTGGGTATTTAGTTCAATGGCAGATCGATGATTGGGATGGATTCTTGAGACATTCTGAAAAAGGAATAATGATTTGGATAAGTAGGGTGTTATGAAAGTGGGGATGAGATCTTCGGAGAACTGGCCTGCTAACTAGTGCTGCGGCGAAGAATTTAACTAGAACCAAGTGACAGGTGAGGCCCTGCTAGTGCCAAGTGGCGGAGAGAGGCTCTACCTATGATTTGGGCCGAGGGAATTTTGTGGCAACTTGAATGTGGTGGCAGAATGTTGGCCTCTCGGTGACCGTAAGAGATTCACTTGGGAAGCCCTAGCTGTAGCCCTAAAGAAGGGCGAGCGAGGTGGCTAACTATGATTTGGTCGTGGGGCTGAACCTCCGTGTTGAGGTGGGGAGTAGACCTCGCGGGACCGGTGTATTTACTTAAGATAGCTAAGGCCATTGCCTAACCCTCAATGCCAGTTCTCTAACCTGATGGGGCTTGTCTCTTAGAATTATGTACTTGAACGTATGTAGATACTTAACCTTGAATATTTGCCCTATTTCTTTGGACAATGCACAGGAAGACTTCAATATATATTCTTGCTTCTGCAGGGAATGACTCCGGTCAAGGTATCCTAAGGGTAACATAGATGCTAGTGGGCCTGACGCGTGCCACTGGTATGCCAAGTGTAAAAATTTCGAACGTATGGATAGATATGTATCAATGATACTGTAACATAAGAACCTGTGTAAGCTGAGGGACCTGAACGTTGGTCCGTAATTAGAGACAAGCCCCTGGGTTCCCACAATTGTGAAATTTAAATCATACGAAGGTGAAGTGAGGCGTTAAGGAGAAACGCAATCGTAGTGATTAAGATTAACAATACCTGATACTGAAATGCAGGAAACCAGGTAGTCTGTTGGTGGTTGAAGGCATAGAACTTAGCGAAACTGCGGTAATGACTTAGGACTAAGTAATAATATGTAGAAATGATAGACAAGAAATGTACGTGTGTAGGTTTATGTGATTGTTGTGGAAATCGTAGTGAGGAATCTTAGACCTGGCCCGTTTTGAAGTTTAGAACCCACTTTGGGAGGTGGGGAGTCTGAATGATGCCGTGGAGGCTGAATGAGGCCTCAAGGGGAAAATAAAAGCTGGTAAACGTAAAAGTAGTAGAACCTAAAAACATAAGCATTCTAAGTATAAGGAACCAGTATATAAGGTTTTTTAGGAAACAGAGATTTTGCAATTGTGCTAATGGTCTGTAATGAGCCTGGTGAAAAAGGACCGTAAGAGCTTAACCTATAACATGCAAAACTAAGAAAAGATGTAGTGAGCGGAGCGACCTTAGTTACTCATAAGACTTGTTTTAATACTAGGGAAAGGAAAAAAAAAATTGTACTATAATAGACTAAGTTCCAGGGGGGGTAAATAATGGTACCGTTACTTATTAAGTGATTGTGGCCTCACTGTGCTTTTAAGAAGATTCCCCTGTGTAAAAATGGTGTCCCATAATTTAACGTGACCACAGACGGGAAATAGTGCAACACAGATTTACTATTTTAGCCAGTAGTGACTGAAGAGCCATATACTAAACACATAAATTAATATAGGATACAGATAATGTGAAAGGGTGAGTGCTTTCGTTTAAGCGAATGACAGAACTAGAAACATTCATAACAGATTAGTGAATTTAAACACTGAAGTCTCCTGCGTTCGGCCAAATGAACGAAAGGACTGTAAGCAGAAAGAAAATACCTGCGGTTGGTTAATGGAGCATACAAAAGACTAAATGAAAGCCATTTATATTGCAGTCTGCTGTTCAGACATACGAATAAATAGATGAACGTAAGTAAGTTTAGTGCGGTTGGCAGTTAGTTTATGCGAAAGACAAACGAAGGTGTGTGTACTCTGCGGTCGGCTGTTAGCCGCACAAATGCAGAAGTACACGAACGGTGAATGTGCACGAACAGGTAAGTATAATGAAGGGAGCCTATCCCTGCGTTTTTAGGCCCAAACGTGGGAAATAGCCGACATGTGGACATTACGTGGACATGCCGGTCTTGTGACCGGAAGCCGGATAGCGATATCGGATAGAAGCAGGTTGGCGGGCACGGAGGTCAGAGGCAGGAGAGCTGCTGGCGACAAACTGCTTGCTGGAGACTGGAATTTTGGCTGGAACTATGGACCGGAATTCCTGGTTGCTATGGAGAAAGACAAACAGTTTGAACCGCAAAGGTAAGTGGGGGGTGGGGGGGTAGGAGTTTAAATAGGGGTCATAACTCCTCCCACAAATTCAGGGCAAATGGCCTTCCAACATAATTTATCCAAGGCTCTTGCACTCCAACTCAAACATGTAATACCTGGTGCTCTGGTCACATAATAGATTATATTGCACAAAAATACCAGCACTTCAGGACTTAGTAGATACATCTTCTTTATTCAAGTAGATTACGTGGATCTAACTGAATAAAGAAGATGTATCTACTAAATCCTGGTGTGCTGGTATTTTTGTGCAATATTTTATATATATATATATATTGATAGTTTTTTTGATGTTTTTAAGTGATAAAAAAGTGCACAGAAATCTTTTTGATTTTCTTTGTTTTAATTTGTTTAAATTCTAGTAATCTGGGAACCCACATGGTGTGCTTGTTTGTCACACCTCTTCTTTAAAACCCAGGGTAATGTCACCAGTCTGCTGTCCTCTACACATGACTACTTTCTCGCTCCCAGGGAAAGCTCATAGTCGGCCCGGTGTGCCATTCAGACCATACCATTATCTTGCCCTACACGGGGGGAGTAAAATCCAGCAATACCAATGCCTATCCCCATTTCCGGCAGCTAAGGGACGTATTGTCGCCAGAATGAAAGTCCGGATACGCAGAGAGGCACCGCGGGCGTTATCGGTGTCTCCCCAGGCGGTGTGGGTCAAGGTTTAGTTGGTCGTGACGTCACACTCCCCACCTTTTCGCTTGGTACGGCCGCCGGCTGGTCCGTGCTCAGGCGTGCGTTGCTGCGAACATCATGTCCTCCTTACTGGGCTTGTCCTCCGCTCAGGGCTTTATTCTCTGCCGGCATCCATGTGCGGCTCAGCCCCGGCCCGGCACGGGAGAGAGCCCCCACACACACAGGGGCTGTCATGGCTCCAGTAATGGGAGAGAGTGCCTCACACACACTGTCATGGCTCCAGTAATGGGAGAGAGTGCCCTCACACACAGGGGCTGTCATGGCTCCAGTAATGGGAGAGAGTGCCCTCACACACAGGGGCTGTCATGGCTCCAGTAATGGGAGAGAGTGCCCTCACACACAGGGGCTGTCATGGCTCCAGTAATGGGAGAGAGTGCCCTCACACACAGGGGCTGTCATGGCTCCAGTAATGGGAGAGAGTGCCCTCACACACAGGGGCTGTCATGGCTCCAGTAATGGGAGAGAGTGTCCTCACACACAGGGGCTGTCATGGCTCCAGTAATGGGAGAGAGTGCCCTCACACACAGGGGCTGTCATGGCTCCAGTAATGGGAGAGAGTGCCCTCACACACAGGGGCTGTCATGGCTCCAGTAATGGGAGAGAGTGTCCTCACACACAGGGGCTGCCATGGCTCCAGTAATGGGAGAGAGTGTCCTCACACACAGGGGCTGCCATGGCTCAGTAATGGGAGAGAGTGCCCTCACACACAGGGGCTGCCATGGCTCCAGTAATGGGAGAGAGTGCCCTCACACACAGGGGCTGTCATGGCTCCAGTAATGGGAGAGAGTGCCCTCACACACAGGGGCTGCCATGGCTCCAGTAATGGGAGAGAGTGCCCTCACACACAGGGGCTGCCATGGCTCCAGTAATGGGAGAGAGTGTCCTCACACACAGGGGCTGCCATGGCTCCAGTAATGGGAGAGTGTCCTCACACACAGGGGCTGCCATGGCTGCAGTAATGGGAGAGAGTGCCCTCACACACAGGGGCTGCCATGGCTCCAGTAATGGGAGAGAGTGCCCTCACACACAGGGGCTGCCATGGCTCCAGTAATGGGAGAGAGTGCCCTCACACACAGGGGCTGCCATGGCTCCAGTAATGGGAGAGAGTGCCCTCACACACAGGGGCTGCCATGGCTCCAGTAATGGGAGAGAGTGTCCTCACACACAGGGGCTGCCATGGCTCCAGTAATGGGAGAGAGTGCCCTCACACACAGGGGCTGTCATGGCTCCAGTAATGGGAGAGAGTGCCCTCACACACAGGGGCTGTCATGGCTCCAGTAATGGGAGAGAGTGCCCTCACACACAGGGGCTGCCATGGCTCCAGTAATGGGAGAGAGTGCCCTCACACACAGGGGCTGTCATGGCTCCAGTAATGGGAGAGAGTGTCCTCACACACAGGGGCTGCCATGGCTCCAGTAATGGGAGAGAGTGCCCTCACACACAGGGGCTGTCATGGCTCCAGTAATGGGAGAGAGTGCCCTCACACACAGGGGCTGTCGTGGCTCCAGTAATGGGAGAGAGTGCCCTCACACACAGGGGCTGTCGTGGCTCCAGTAATGGGAGAGAGTGCCCTCACACACAGGGGCTGTCGTGGCTCCAGTAATGGGAGAGAGTGCCCTCACACACAGGGGCTGCCATGGCTCCAGTAATGGGAGAGCGTGTCTTCCTAAATACATTCCTCTTCTTCACACTGTTGGGTTTGCCATGAAAGTGTGTCCCTCTTCGTGCTGTTGGGTTTGCCATGACAGTGCTGCCCTCTTCACGCTGTTGGGTTTTCCATGACAGTGCTGCCCTCTTCACGCTGTTGGGTTTTCCATGACAGTGCTGCCCTCTTCACGCTGTTGGGTTTTACATGAAAGTGCTACCCTACAGTATGTAGAACAGAGGGGTGCCAAAAGGTAGATCCCCAAATGTTTTAAAACTACAGCTTGCATGATGCTTTGCCATTCCTTCCAAAGTCATGCAAAGCATCATGGAAGTTGTAGTTCTACAACATCTGAGGATCTACCCTCTGGGCACCCCTGATGTAGAATGTATAGGAGGGAAACAGGTGAAGCAGTCATGGTTGCTGCTTTGGGCAATGTCCTGGAGTTATAAATTGTGTTGATGTTTTGTTTTCTGCTTTACATGCATTTCGCACAGGATAGCAGTATTCATGTACCATCCAAGAGCAGCTTGAAAGTTAAATATATCCAGTAAAACATGATGTAAACTGGTAACCCGTGGCAGGGATGTCTACAGATAAGGGACGGTACAAGCATCGCTGGTTGGCGTTAAAACAGAACTGTTAGTTTTGAGTTTTGCAAAAATATACACACAGTTCCTATATCCGTGAGAATTATGAATGGATATCCAGTGGAGGATCCTGTAAGATGGTAGACATCAGCAAGATCTTTCCACACATCCATATATTGTACATTTTGTAAGAAGGGCCAAAGCTGGCCACTGACATATATGGGTGTTTTTCAGATGAGATTCTGTTTGTGTCCTTTGCTGGAGCAAGCAGTGTAATGCGAAGTAATCATAGTACAATCTTAGAAATGGAATTTAGAGTAAACTGCAAGTTTTATTAATAAATTAAATACTTCAAAGGTACCTGCCTGCTTTTATACAACCTTCCTGTCTTAATGTCTAAAAATGTTACTGTAGGACAATAGCCTATTGACCTCTGAGATCTCCAAGGTCACACAGCTGTGCTCCTGTTGTTGGTCCATCATGCCTCTGGGAAGGGAGAGCGGGGGAGGGACACACATTGATCTAGTGTTACCTGCAACAGAGGAAATCATGGAGTTTTGTTTTTTTCTACTCTTCTTTTTCCTTGTTAAATTGACCCACAAACAGGAGCATCTCTGTACAACTTTAAATTGACAAATTAACTTTTGTATTACAGTCCTTTCTTTCTTACAATATTAAAAAATATATATTCCTGTAGCCCATGAATAAAATAGCTTACTCAGAGATCCTTCGTGCTTACCCTAAGAAGCTTGTAGTCTTGCCTTGTTACTAGAGTAACACATCGACACTTGCAGTTGTATCAGTTATTTTTATATAGAATCAATTTAAGGGAGCACTGTGTCTCTTGTCCTGAAATTATAGAACAGGCTTCCCCAAACTCCGGCCCTCCAGATGTTGCTGAACTACAACTCCCATGATTTTATGAATGAATGAAATAGAGAATCATGGGAGTTGTAGTTCAGGAACATCTGGAGGGCTGGAGTTTGGGGAAGTCTGTTATAGAAAAACTAAGCTTTCACTAAGGAAGCATGTAAAGGCATTCACTGCTAAACCAATGCTGCTTATGAACTGGAATGAAAGACAGTCTGAATCTGCCAATATATTTATTTTACAATGCTTAGATGGTAATAGGGATTTATCATTTGTCTCTCACAAAACAAAGGTTTAAATAGTATTTGAATGTTATTTTACTATTCTTATTATGGCTAAATGGGTACTATAAAATATAGTACAAGGCTGTTTGTACAGCAATACAACAGGACAAAACCTTCTTCAGCGTGAACTTCTGTAAAATAAAAGATGAGTTTACGTGTGAGTGGATTAAATTTGGGTTTTTGAACATCCTAATAATTCTTTATGAAATATGCAGAAACATTTGAAACTTCTATAATTCTATACGATGCATTATAATGAAATTGAATAGTTTGTTCTGTTGCTTGTGAGCATGTATATGGTTGAAGGCTGGCTTTATGTTCTGTAGGAAGCTATTACTTTATTCACCTCCCATTTGAATTCTTTTTCAGACACTTGCTCAGCTCACCTAGATTTTTTGCTGTGGCCATCCAACAGAAGGGAAGTGGCCACGATGAACCAGCTGCTGCAGTTCAACACAAGCAAGCGCAGCAGTTTGACTGGGCCCTTACAAAGCTGGACAGCTCAGTCCGGCGCACTGGCCGCATCACGAAAACACTTCTGTTAAAGATCTTTCATGATATCTGCAGAACAGGTAACACAGTTATTTCCCACCTTCTCTTCTTTCTTTGAGTTTATCAAACACTTAAATCTGTAGTATTTCGTGTATGGACTGCTGCTATACACTATACAGCTCCTTTACTGAAGCAATACAGGTAAATTGGGATGTATTAGGCAGCAAGTGAATAGTCAGTTCTTGAATTTCATGTGTTGGAAGGAGGAGAATGTATACTGTATAACAGCATGCCGTAACTCAACATACTACAGGTTTAAGGTTACAGCTAACTGAAGGCTGAGAATAAACTGATTTAGATAACATTTACTGAAGCAATACAGGTAAATTGGTGATTTCATTAACATTTAGGTATCAACACGAGGTGGACAACAATGATAGAAAAAACAGCACCAATGTTGCTACGTAGGTCAGTCGTGTTAAGTTGATTGCTAATTTGCAGTCTTAGCAAAATTATAATATTTTGCAGGAACAATCTAAAAAAAAATGACTGATCCACATGAGTAGACTACTATGGAGAAATGCACAGTTTGATAACTTGTTGTAGTTCACAGAACTTGATAAGCTAACACTTCAACGTATTATTGCCGAATGTTGCAAAAGTGTAATCTCAAAAAATATTTCCAAATTGAATTTGTGCTTGTTTCACTCATTCTCAACAAAACATGTTTGTCTCCCCTGTAACGAGTTCTAAACATCAGCAAAACATTAAAGGATTGCTCTCTAGCTTGGTCTTTAAGACCCCTAAAGATTGCTAAAGTGCTTTGTGTAAAGTGTGTCCTCTGTCATTCAGACATCCAGTCCTATTATTTCCTGGTTGTTTAGCTCAGTGGAGCTAAACTCAAGGCAGCAATTGCACAGAGCACCTGCCTAGCAAAGACTTCTCATTGAGCTGCATTGGGAAGTCTGATTGGACAGCCAGAGAAAGTCTGGGGGAAAAGTTGAGGAATTGAAAAGGCATCAGAAGAGATCTGCTTCTTTTGCAAGCTGGTTTTATGTATACACAGAGTTAAAAAAAACAACAACCTTTTTTATTTTTTGCCTTGTGCAGTGTCACTTTAAGTGCTCAAACTTCTGATGTTAAAACTAAAGTTATGATAAAAAAGGAATATCTAATAGAAAAGGTGCACTTAGAACACAATTGCCTTTTTATCTTTAAAATTAAGCTGTGCTCTATTGATTTGTTTTGCAATCAGATTGG